ATCATTGTAAAAACTTCATAGCTCTTTTCCAAGCACAGCTTGGTAAAAAATGAAACATTAATTATCTGGATGTCCATACCCAAAACGAAGAACAAATGAGAATGAATATTTCCTAGTCTCACAACATGTTAGAGAAACATTTCCAACAAACTCTCAAACAAGAATAAAAATTGGAGTTAATTTTTAAAAAAATAAATTGAGTCAGGTCAGGGAACCTGATGCCTGAATATACTCCTAAGGGCCCTGTAGAACATGACAGACCTCTAAGAAAAATCAGAAGCCTGTGTTTGTCACAGCTAGCATTTATCCCAGAAAAAGTGTTAATTCCAGAACGAAATGAGGCACCCTTGTCAAACATCAATTTTTTTTCTGGGAATCATTCATTGTTGCAATAATTCCAGGCAACATCAGCTTGTCTAATTTTATAAACCTTTGTTTCTCTTCATTGCTTCTATGTTCCATAGGCACAAAACTTCAAAGTTGAGAACATACGAAAGTCTTTGAGCTATGGAAAACTATGGGCACAAATCCTTAAAAAATATTTTAAAACTAAACTTCAGTTGCAGGCAAATACTTGAGTCACATTTAAATCCAAAATACCTGAGCTTAAAAGGTACAATAAAAACATCAAAAATAAGGTTTTAATCACATTCTAAAAATGCAAAAGCTTATAGTCTAAAAACATAGGTTGGGGAACAGGGGTAAATTACCCCGAATGAGGTAAAAGTGAAAATCCTGGGGGTAATGAGCAGAGTGCTACACCCCTCCCTCCCTGCCAAATCTCAAATTGTAAGCCACCTCTCCCTGTTACTTCCTGGTTGCAGCAGGCACTTATAAATCCTGTTAGTTCAGAGATCGGAGATAAGCTCCTTGATTGGTTGCAGCTGTGGATTAGCCCCAGACAATCAATCAATCAATCAGGGGCTTCTGAATGACTGCTTCCCCCATAAATGACTGCAAACAAGCAGTAGGAGGGAAAGGCTCAAGGAGCAAGCAAGGGAAGAAGGGAAGAAAGGTGCAAGAGACTGAGGACTTCATCAAGCTTATTTAAGTGTATGTAATTGTAGAAAATGAATGAAGGGAGGGAGGGAGGGAGGGTGGGTGTGTGTGTGTGTGTGTGTGTGAGAAAGAGAGAGAGAGAGAGAGAGACTGACTCAAAACTATGAAAAAGAACAGACAAGAAAAAGAGAAACCTTGAATTAAGGCAGGGGGGTTATCATTGCTGTCCTTCCAAGAAGCAGGCAGCTTTGAATTTTGTGGCCAGCAAAAATTTAATGCAACTTGCTAGGCACGTTGGACACCTTACTACTCCCTATACCACACCATGACTGGAGTGCAATGTATTCTAGCAAAATAGTGCACATCTTTATCAAATCTGATGCATCCTGCTAGTTCGGTACACAGCCTGTGTAGATTCAATAATATTTTTAATTCAAATAATGTATGATTTCCTTCCTTTCAAATCAAGGGGGTAATGTCGGTGTATATAAATTTTGGGGGGGATAAAAGCTAAAAAAGTTCCCTGAACCCTGGTCTAAAAAGGTACAACCAAATTGCAGATTATGTCTCTAAAACACATCATTTAAAAAGGTGAAAACCATTATCTCTTTAAGTAAGCTTTAGTCTTTAAGCATATTATGACACACAGAAAATTATTCTAAGTGCTCACTCAACCAAGCCAATTTGAATCTATGGAGGAAAATCCATTGTGTTCTCATTTGCTGCTGTTGTTACATGATTCCTGATATTTCCTGGTATCAGTGTTGTTGGTATCCACCAAGTGTGACACTGAGTTGTTATGTCGCATTGTTCTGCATGTATATGTCTCCCTATATTTATATTTCTCTGATGTTTACATTTATCTCTGACTGTAAACAACTGATTTTTGCCTACACTGTACTTACAGGGGCTTAACTAACAGTCAAAAAGCTTATAATGGACATTTCTATTGTTTTTACAAGTCCTGTAAAATACAATTACTATAAATCAGAATCTGGCAAGCTGCCACCATGATGATAAGTGTTATTATTTTGACTAAGTTACTAAGCTTGTGGGATACATTGAGTGTAAATAGCTTGGATTCTAATTTCCTGAATCTGTAGATGCCACCTGCTGGTCATGTTCATACACTGCAACATTCTTCATATTACAAACTAATTATCTCAATACACTTTTAATTTTCTCCCTTCTCCGGCTATCATTTGTAAACATGTTCAACTGTTAGGCATGAAAGAGATTCTTTTCCAAGGCTGTTACTGCACAGTGACCTTGCTTCCAGACTCAACCTGAGACGGTTGATCGTTTTGCAGTGACTTTTAATAAACCGCTGCTCAAACCTTATTTTTAAAATACAACGTACATTTTTAGGAGTGCATTTTCTACACCCCTCTTAATTATTTCATCACTCTTTATATTCAAAATTTTGCATCTTGACAATAGTGCTATCCATTAGCAAAACTTATAAGTCAGTTGCTCAGATATATCTTCATGATAATTTTACACAGCGTGGGATTTTTCTTCCTCCTCACAAGCCACTATCTTGAGAGGGAATAGGAAATTAATACACATGACTAATCTTTTGCCATTTGTGGGAATGATATTTAACTTAGAAGTATCACTAGTCAAATTTTATAACAGCTATGAAGACACTTCGAAATGAGTTTTTTGCATCTAGATTATCTACAAATACAGCAACAGAATACATAGAACAAAGTCATTTCTTCAGAGCTGTTTCCATTGTCAGCATAAAGCCAGTACAATTTCCAGATATGACAATGATCAAAGTTCAGATAAACTGCTATTTAATGAAATATTCAAGTATTATCATAACATTAATACAGAGCATAATACAGCTTTGTATTAAGACAAGGGAACTTTTAGAAAAATGAAATATATATATCTAAAATTGATTTTCATTATCATTCAGGGCACAAAGCACTGCTGCTGTAAACATATTGCATAAATTGATTATTCCACATAGCCCACAAGCTCTGAACAAAATTCTAAGGAGAAAACATATTTGCCAAGTACTGTACAAGATTATTGTAATTTATGGATTTTAAGTCATAAAATCCTTTATGTTAATACTAGATTCTGTACAAAAAACCCTCTTCTCAGTGGTATTTTCCTGTACAAATTAATGAAGATTATTAACTAGTCCATTAAAACTATTTGTACATCTAACAGATGCCACTGTAGAAAGATTATGACGATCAACTACCTAACCAATCTGAGCAGGCATCAACAGTTCAAATACAAATACACCACAATTTGCTCAAAGCTTTAGTCCAAAGGTCTATTTATAGCTACTATGTCTCTTTTCAGTTTCCCATGGCCCCTCCTCCTCCTAAAACCAAATACCTGTACAATGAAGTTTAATGGATGGATGCAATCCTGGCGTCTGTGCAGTAGTTAAAGCTCTGCAGTAGCAGCCATCTAGATCCCTTTACCTAGCTCAAAAATTTGAAAGGAGGAAAGTGATTCTGCTTTAGTGGGAACTACATAACCAGATTACAACCGCTAACTCTACCATGGGCCAAACATGACCATCTTACATTGCTGCGTTATCACAGAAATAATTTTAATGATGACTTCCCCTCCTACTGTCATCAGTAGTCCCAACCAACTGGTTGAAAGCTAGAAAAGAAGGCTGCCCCATTCAGGGCTCACCCCAGCTAACAAGAGATGGCATCCATGTAGTTATTCCATTCACATTTTGTGTGCAAGTAAACTATCTTGATTGCTCCTGCCTAAGAAGTGCCCAGACATTCCTAAATTTGAATCCAAACATATAAATGAGCTATACTCCACAATCTCAAGATATATTGTCAAAGCACTATGCCCACCACCCAAGTGAGTCTTTAAAAAAAAAAAACTATTTCTCCCTGGTTGCAACACCCTGAACAATTCCGGGCGGGTGGAAAAACGCTTCGCCACATCTGCCTCTTACATTTGGAAACTGCAACATTTACCTACCTTTTCCTTTCTCCAATATCCCTTCTCGCGGCCAATCCCTGCCCCTGTCCTGTCTCCCGCCCTATTAGGTCCGACGGGAGCGGGGTGACAGCACCAGCGTGGCAATTACAATCCACCCACCCCTTCCATCAGCCCCGCCACGCTTTTTCTCCCGCCACCCCCTTTCCAACCTTGTTCAATGCGGATTGCAGCCGCCAGCAAAAACAAAACAGCAGCAGCAAACGAACAAGAGACGTGCCTTTCATCCAAAAGTAGGAAGAAGCGAATGATCTTGGGATGGAGGAGTGGGCCCAAAAAACAGATAGCTCAATAAACCCCGAGGGAAAAAAGAAATGCCCAGTGGGGGTGGAGTGGGGGGGGGTTGAGGAGAGATCTGTCCCGCCCCGCCTGTGGGATTTGCGAGGAGGCGGGGTGAGTGAAGAAGGGGAGGCAGGATAATCCCGCAGAGGGCGGGGAGATAATCCCGGGCGAGAGGGAAAGATTATCTGCCCTCCCTTCTACAAGTATTTTTTTTCTGCCGCTGGAGATAATCCAAGGGCGCCACGAGAGGTTGACTTCGGAGTTGGGAGCCGTAAAGGGGATTACTCCTCCCCACAAAATCTGGGGCCGATCAAAGCACAATTTCTCCTTCTTAATTGACTAGGTGCAAGCCGCCACCCTCTCCCGGAAGGTACCTGCGTGAGCTCCCCTCAGCCGGTCCGGCTAAACGCCCCAAGAGGCCGCCACTTGCTTCCCCCCACCGAACATACCGAGCCGGGAGTCACGGGGCGAGAAGCCCAAAACCAGACCTCGTCCAATACACGAGCCTTGCGTTGCCTCCCCGACGCCTTTTTTTCCGTTCCTCCCCAAAAAGAAAGCCAGGAGAGAGCATGAAGGCTCAAAACTCCCCACAAGAAAAGGCGGCGGTGAGCCTCCCCGGCCTCTTCCCCCCCCCCGCCGCCTCCAACGCGAGGGAGAAACGCGGGCACAACGCCTGCTCCGAAAGCCCCCTCACACCCAAGTCACGAAGGCTGAGAGGCAGTTACCGGCAAGGCGGGTCGGTCGAGCGGTTGGCTGGGTGGGTGGGTGGCTGGCAGGCCGGCCGGCCTCGTCTCCTCTTCACGTTCACTCACAAGCCTGAACACCCCCAGCCCGCCTTCCGGCCACCCCTTCCCTCAGTGGGCGCCGCTCTGCCTCAGCCCCATCTAATAATGAACTGGAAAGGCTCAGAGGAGCTCCCGAAACCGCCGCTGCCACCAGCGGCGCGCGGGCGCGGAGCGCTCTCTGACTCCTGAGCGACGCACACGGCGGCAAACGAGAACCCGCCGCGGCTCCTCTCGCTCTTTATCTCTCCCCCCTCCCCCGCCCGCCTGCGCGCGCGCGCTATTATACTCTACTATTGCGCCGTGGCTTCTTCTAAAGCAGGCGCGCGTGCGCGCAAGCCAACGATTCATGTTGCGGGCCCGGGCGTAGGGAGAAAAGAGCTCCGCCCCTTTTCTTGCCAAGGCTCCGCCCCTTTTCCTCCTCCTCTCTCTCTCTCTCTCTCTCTGGCCGATTTTAATATTAGCTGTCCCGCTGGCCCACATGGCAACTGTGGTTTCACACAACTGTTCGTTCCTGTGCAGAGGAGAGGGAATTCGTATTTCCTCGCACTGTACCTAGCTCGCGTGTAAGAAGGGCGGAAACAACGATAAAACGGCTGAGTTCATCCACGTGTGCGCAGACGAGGAGTGGGTTCTTTTGGTTCTCTAAATTCTATTGAATTGCCGTTCCCGGCATCCTTTATCGTCAGGTATGTTAGCTCAGGCTGATGGCTGTTGCAGTCCACAGACGCCCACCCCGGGCGGAGAGAGAGGTGGTTAAGGGAAATATTAAGAGTTGTTGTTTTAAAAGCACTTAGGTCAAAAGAAATTACATCTAATCCTGTGGTACTAGCTTCTAAATAGCCTTGAATAGGGCTGTAAACCTAAATGAGGAAATTATTATTATTATTATTATTGTTATTATTGTTATTATTGTTATTATTATTATTATTATTATTATTATTATTATTATTATTATTATTATTATTATTATTATTATTAAAT